CGCCTCAAAGCCAACGCTGATTGGACGTTCGTTTGGTGAACGGCTCCAAATTTTCTTTAACGGAGAGTCTCCAGACTGATTAGCGAGTGAAACCTTGAAAGCTCGCGAGATCAGGATGGTCTCACGAGGCTAATTCAAAATGGCCCATGGCAGCCGAATGGCAGTCCACTTCCCTGAAAATCCAAGCCATATCCCCTCCAACTTCCAGCCACTGGAGTGACCCATCTTGCATTTTTTTTTTTTTACTCTGACTCCACCCTTTCACTGAATTACAGGGTCCGACCAGGAGATGGCGCTTCTCTTAAGATGTTAATGTCCACAAATCAGGACAGAAATAATATTTTAGTACAAATATTGATGTTTAAAAAGGAATTGTAGGGGACCAGCCAAGGAAAGTTGGGAAATCAGAATGGCTTCTACTGTACAACTGACAGCATCTGTTTTTGAAGAAAAGTTTCTGTGATATGCAACATGAAATGTACAAATATTTAACAAGTACAAAGTTAAATATTTACTGTTAAATTGTTCAGAAAGAATATTGGATGGTAGCCAGAATTGGATGACTGGGCCGAATGGTGACCAGCGAGTCGTTAAATGAATATTAACCTCTTTCTTTATTTAACAAAGCATAAACTACCAGCTTAAATTTATAATATTCTTTGATGGGTAAAATATTAAAAAGTCCAGAAAACTCAGTTTGGTAAGTTAGGAAGGGTGTTTAAAAATCAGAGGCAGAAGAAGAACAGAAAACGTAACAAGCCTCTAGAAAGAAACTTCTGTTTTTTTTTTTTAGTTTTGTTTTTTTTTTATCAAACTTTTATGGACAAAAAAAAAACATTTTTTTTTCTCTTATCAAATTGCTGAAAGAGCAAATTAACCCCAACTGCTGGTTGTCTTTTAGATCATTTAAATTACATACATATACTGATATACAACAACCCCAAATAAAAAAAACAAAACAAAAGACATAAGTCCACCCCCTCAAAAACTGAGAGTACGCATTTCATTATTTACATGACATAAAACACCTCCTCCATTTTTCCCATGTTAAACTGAAATAAAATTTAAAAATCAGTTAAATTTTTTTTTTTTTTTTCCTGTGGCCCAATCCTCTTCCTTTATAGGTAGAGAGATAGGCTTTATGGACAGCTGCCAAAAGATTAATGAGGAAATATCTCTCCTTTGGAAACTAAAGAAAAACTTATCAAACAGATCTGTTTTTATTAAACAATAGAAACAGATTTTAGTCAAATCAGCTCTAAATTACATAATGAGTGAAGTTACACAACAGCCTATGCTGCTAAATGTGTCATTTTGAAGACGCCCAAGAAGAACATTTTTACATATTTAGTTTCCATTACATAGTTCTGCCTAAATTCGACGTCTGCTTGGGGATGGCGAAATGAAAGGCTCTCCTAGGGTCCATTTATGCAGGTATCAGGTCTAATGATCGAGTACAGTGAAATAGAAAAAAATCTTCTGAGCAGAATCAGCCGTCTGTTTCGTGTTTTTATTTTTACCCTCCTGTCAAAAATGTTACCACCAGATTTTAAGGAAATGGTTTCAACCAAAATACACAGAAATATCAGCAAAAAATTGAAATAACTGAAAGTAAAATAGAGATTAAAATAAGCAGATTAAGGAAATGACTATTTTATTTTTGCATATAGAGTTCTTCTTTGCACCCAATGAGGAAATGAGGGCTGATGACGTTCAAAGCCCATAAATTATGCATAACAAACATAAAGAAAAAAAAAAGATCCTTTCCAAGCGTCTTTGTTGTGATTCAGAGAAAAATAGCATCAAGCTAAAGGGGCTTTTTCTGGGTTCAGCTCAAGTTCACAACAGAACTGTAAATGGAGGCCAACTTTAACAGAAAAGATTATCTGCTGCCCTCTGGTGGAGAAAAAAAAAAAAAGTCTTAGGAAAGAAGCAATCCTAATGCTCTGATGGAGCTAAATTAAATCAGGATTACTTTACGACAGGATAAGATATAGATCTAGGATGGGAGATGTGATCTACAGATTACTGAACATCCCTTTTACTTTGCGGCTACACGAGTAACCGTGACGATCGAGCAGTTCAGCACAGATCAAATTGTCCTCTTGGACGGAACATTGAATTCATTTCACAACCAAGTCATTATAAATACTGCAGCACATCTACCCGTAAAAATTTAGTCTTTAAAAAGAAAAAAAGCCATTTAAGAACAATATTTCTTTCATTTTATAGTAATTAATAAAGTTAATGCAATTGAAACTATATGTAGTTTCCAGTAATCACATCCTGTTGTTTAGGGATTATTTATTTAGGAGAACTTTTTGACTATAGGAAAAACTCAAACTTAAATGAAAATGTTTTGAGTCCTTTATTTCTATTAAATACATCTCTATTTCATTTTTTTGTCTTTAAGCCTGTTTAGAAGCAGAAAGTGATAGAAATGTAATTGAGGAGATGAAGAAGACGTACTGTACTGTGAAAGACGACGCTGTGGCCGTTGCCGCCGCTTTCGATGTGGGTGGTGAGGTTGAGGCAGATGGCTCTGTGACGCAACGCATCCATGGTTTGGACATCAAAGAAATCATGGGGCCTTGCTGGAAAGGGAAACACATTCAGACGGAGACGAGTTCAGGAAAGGTCAAACGGCAAAATTAAAAATCTGAACTTTGGGAGAAAAATTAAAAAAAATTAAAACAAACTATAAAGACATGCTTTAGAATAAAGAGGTTTGGAGACGATACAGCTCTCATTTAAAGGGTTAGGTTATATTTTCAACATATGTTGTAAATAACTATGCAAATGCAAAGAGCTGTAGAAAAAAAACCTTTATAACTTTTAGATAATTTTTGTATAATCGATACAAACTTTTTCTGTCTGAGCTTCATAAGCAGAGATTCTGAATTTCATTTTAATTTATTTTCATTTCATTTTATAACTCTTAGGATCCCCCCACAGAACAAAGATCCATTTCTGTCAACATGTCTGCATGAAAGGCTATTAATCATGTGCAGACAGCGCTTGGAACTGGTCAACTGTGTGATTTCCTGACCCCGCCACAAGTGGGCAGTAATGTTCTTTGACACTCAACAACATGCACATGTGTACACAGACCACTGATCTCTATTCATTCACTGGATTGCTGATTGCCCAAAAAAATTGAAGCTCCCCACTCCCACAGAGAGGCGCCATAAAAATACCTACATGTGAAGCATTTGGCTGCAAAAACAAGCAGTTTGTTTGATGCACTAATCAAGAAATCCACATATAGGCCGATGTATCCTATAGTATAGTATGTAGCGCAGGGGATTTTTACCACTTGCCCGAACTTTCACATTTCATTTGCCCAGAAACAATTTTTACTTGCCCAGTATAATGTTTGATAAATATAGTTCCTAATATTCATTTTTGTATATATGTCAATGAAACATGTTTGTTTTTTAATTTTTTTTTGTAATTCAGTATTTTTTAAGTTTCCAGGTTCCTGGTGTGTATCTGCATGCGTCAGATAATGAATTTATTCCTCTATTACCGTGTTAACATGCTTTTCAATCCTTCCTGCTCATTCTTTTCAAACTAAACTTTGCTTTAAACTGTTGTGTGCTTGGAAAAATATAAATTGTAATGTTAAAAATCAAAAAAAAAAAAAAACAATCGATACTTGGCGTCAAGAATCGATGCAGTATATCACGAAAATTAGAATCACGATGCATCATCATGACGATTATTTTGCACACCCCTACAAGCGACTATGGTGAACATTTTTTAAAAACATGCCGACCTTAAACTCTCCTTTCGGTTATAGATGTGTGAAAAGAAGGCATCTATTAGGAAGACTAAGAGTGAATTTGTGGAGAAGTGGTACTCCAAAAACCAAAGCACTGGATAGAAAATATGAAGACACGAAGGAAACAAGAAGGGGAAACATGAAATCAGTCTGTCGCTCTGTATAAAGCCAGATTCCCACTGAAAACCCGGGTTTTTAAAAACTGGTTTAACCTGCTAACAATCGGCTTTTGGCCTTTTTTTTTCTCCATTTGACCAAAAAGCTGAGTCTGACCTCTGAACCTTTTTGGCAAACTCCATGGCCTCTGTCCCCCATCACTGTGTGTCTGATGATGGCATCACGTTGGGTTAGCGTTCATGATGTCGACAGTGCGAAGGAAATCGGAATGTAAGGAAGCCAGGGTGTAGTCAGTGTGTTTTATTGTTTTCGCTCCATTATGTCTCTGAATCCCTCTCACTAGAGCTGCTCCATGTTTAACGAATGTAAACAGAGTTGTTTCGGCTTGATAAATCAGAGTCATCTGGTGCGGTGTGTTGACGTCCCCACGTTGCGTTCAATAGTATCACGTGATTTAGTGTACCGACACGGCTTTGGTGTTCCCAAAGGTGAGGAGATTTTAACGCCGGTCTCTGTGTCATTTGACCCGAGTAGACACGCGTCAGTGAGCTGTTCCCACTGCCACTAAAAGCCGATTGTTCCCGAGTTTCAAAAGGTTTTTCGGCTAGTCGGAAACTGCAGCAGTACAGAAAAAATAATTACCGTAAATTCCGGACTATAAGCCGCTACTTTTTTCCCGCTGTTTGAACACTGCGGCCTATAATACAGTGCGGCTAATACGTTTTTTTCATGGTGCGAAAAACAGACCAATAAAACTGATGAGTATTCACAGAGGGCATGACCAGCGGCGAGAAATCCTTCACCAAAACTGGCCGCATGCGAAGGGCATCTTTCACTGATGTCTGCCAGTGTGTTCTCAATGCGTGGAGCCGTGTGAAAACATCCAGCATCGACGGCGGGTTTCGGAAGGCTGGGCTGCTGCGGGATGAAGAGGACCGCGAGTGCTCAGGTGAGAGCGACAAGGATGAGACTGAAGTCAGTGACGGCATCCTGAAGCTGTTCCATTCAGACACCGAGGAAGTGCGCAGGAGGAAGAAGAAAGTGATTAATGATTGTCCTGGTCGGCTGCAATGTTCTGTGCGTTGGTTAATTAAAAGTACCGGTAAATGCAGCGTTATTTGCGTGTTACCGACACATACGTATATTTAAATGTGTTACAGGTAGTTTGAAAAAAAAAGCATTCATAATATGTACCGTATTTGTTTGTTTTATCATACGGATTAAATCAAACGTTAAAAAAATGCTCACGTGTAATATCTTTATTTGTAAATATCTCATACAACGTGGGAAACCTGCGGCTTAAAATCAGGTGCGGCTTATAAAAGCACAAAACTCATTTTCTTTCTAAAATTAGAGCGTGCGGCTTGTAATCAGGTGCGCTCTATAGTCCGGAATTTACGGTAACATGAATGACAAGGCAGGTCAAACCCCAGTTATTGAGTGCCTCGGTTAAAAAAAAACAAACTCTTAGATGTGTCTTTGCTTTGACACACCTGAATCAAGTAATTAGGTCATAAAAATGACTCCAAAGAAGATAGTAAATATTAAGGAGGACCAGCGACACTAAAGGTTCGTGGAGTTGAAAACCGTTTGCAAAAATCGTCAACACAACATTTCCCCTCATATTCATTTTCTATCTTTGCTCTGCTCTCCTATTGGTTGCCATCTGTAAACAGGCGGCATTAGATTTGAAGTCCATGAACTTATTAGCTCAGGCATTCAATGTACAGAAGACCTGCTCTGGTGCGAATTATTCACTCCAAGAGAACAGAGTAGGAAGCAAACTGTTGATGAGTGGAACATCTCTTTGTATAATTTGAAGCAGCATTAGCAAAGGGTAAAAATGTATTTTCAAGCAATGACTGGGAAAAACAAAGACAAAACTTTCACAACAAATTAAATTGGTTTACTTGTTGGATACGTACGCAGGGACCACCTCCGTTTGTTTTTGAGTTTCTTCCTTTTGTTGAGTCCTGCCTTAGATGGAGAGTCCTCCTTTAGCCTGGCCTGGCTGGACATTTTGGACGAGCTCTGATGGCTGAAATGACTGGGGACATGACGGGCCAACCCTCCCTGAGAAGCAAAGCTGGCGTTGCAGCCGCCAACTACACACTGAAACAAATAAGAAGCAACAGGGGGGAAAAAAACACTCAAAAAGGATGAAGAAAATTCTGCTGATGATCAGTTTATATTATTGCAGAACTAAAATTGCAGAGTCCCAGAACTGATATGGGAGAAAAAAAAAGATAAAGCATGCACATGAAATACAGATTTGTTCCCATAAAATACAGATTTGTTCCCACGAAAGACAGATTTGTTCCCATAAAATACAGATTTGTTCCCACGAAAGACAGATTTGTTCCCATAAAATACAGATTTGTTCCCACGAAAT